AGGATGGAGACCTAAGGCTTGGGATTCCCAGTCCAGGTCTATGTATGACTAGGCCCCTGACCTTGTGTCCCTTTTGCTATCCAAGGGGACATCAGAAGATGTGGGGTGGGCACCAAACAGACTTGCAGATTCTTGTAATGCCAGGCTTGAAGGAAGCCAAGTGGGTACAGCCCTGGAGCACTGGCCCCCGGGCTGCTTGGCATTCTGGGATCTTGGCACTCTGCCAAGGGTGAAAACAGAGCTGCAGGCCGCTGGGCATCTCTCTACCCCTCCTCTTGGGTTTGCATCTCATTGCTGAGGTCGTACCAGGCTTAATCTCTGTTAGTGCAGACTCTGAGGAGCCAGTCTGGAGGGAGCTGTGCCAGCAGCCTGGAGCACACCATGAGGTTGCCCTCTGCTGCCCCAAGCCTCTGGTCGAGGAGGCCAGAGCAGTAGGCAGAAGAGACTGTTGCCATTTCATCTGGCCTGTGCCTTCCTATGCCAGTCCAGACTGAGACAATGGATATGGCCAAGGTTATCAGCTAGTGTTCTCTCTCCCTGGTGGTGGTGGGGGGGTTCATTTGGTAACATCCCATCCTGCTTCCCTACCCCTCTAAGCCTTCAATCCAGTCTATTTCAAAATAGAGGTGACTGTGGTTCACTTCAGGGTTGTGATGCACAGCTGTCCTGCAAGTGAGGTTCACTCCAGGCAGTTGGGCTCTTCGAAGAATGGAGAGGATTTGCTTGTGCTTATAGTCAATATATGGCTGTGCCAGATAATGAAAACAGGAACACCCTTTTTCCTTTTTTTACCAGGAAGCTCAGAACTGCATGGAAGCTCCATCATTTACTATCTTGCAACAGATTCTTGGTCTAATTGGTATCTCTTGGGTGCCACATGGGTAAGCATGGCAGACACAGGACATGTTTGTCATCTCTAACACCCAGAGGCTGAGGTTTATGACACACACAAGTTGTTTCTTAACTGCCCTATTTAGTACAAGTTAAGTATTTCTAATCTGAGAATCTCAAATCTGAACTAATTAGAAATCTGAACCTTTTCTAGCACTGACATGACACTCAACAAACATTTGAGTCTTGGAGCATTTTGCAGCTAAAGATTTGGGGTGCTCACTTGGTAATAGGTATGCTACCTAGCATTCCAAAGTCTGAAACACTCCCACATCTGAAATGCTTCTGATCCCAAGCATTTTGCATGGGGGATACTCAGCCTGGGTGTGTTTCTGTTAGAAAACCTGAAAGTGTGAAATACTGCAGGCAAGCAGAGGTCACAGCCTCTCTACTGGGAAGTAGAGGTGCTAGCTGGAAACCCTTTGACTTGGAATATCATCGTGCCTCTTGTCCTTAGTCCTGGCCTCTGTGTCTTTTTCCCTCCCCTGCCCTTGTCTCTTGGCAGCCAGCACCATATGACCAGATCTCATAATGTGGTGGTACTTGGCTCTTTCCACAGCCTCCCTCAGCCATCATCCCATTTATTCCTTGGGGGATATCCTGATGACTATGATTGACTCTTCCTGTCTTACCAGTGAAGACCCCTTAAGGCCTAGGAAGCATGCAACCACCTTTTGACATCACTACTTATGGAGTCATCTACAAAGTTCACACTCTAGAACCTTGAAAATCAAGTTTAAAAAAAAAAAAAGACAGGCCCTGGGAGAGATGGTTCAGTGGTTAAGAAGGCTTGCTGATCTTGCAGAGGACCTGAGTTCAGTTCCCAGCACCCATGTTGGGTGGCTAGCAACTGCCTGTCACTCCAGCTTCAGTGGATCCCACAACCTCTTCTGGCCTGCACTCATATAATATTCAGACACACATACACATATATACATAGACACACACAGACACACACACACACATACACACACACACACACACACATACACACACACACACACACATACACACACACACACACACATACACACACACACACACACATACACACACACACACCACAAATAAAATCAACAACAAAAAAAAAACACCTCAAAATGTTTTAAGTGGGTTTACGATTTGGGGCAGCGTTCATAGCAGTCTCTGGGTGCATGTGGCCTGAGGACTGAGGGTTGGGTATGCCCACTAGAGTGTCACAGTGACTGTCTCATAGCTCATACTTTAGGACTCCCTTGTGAGACTCAGGCTCCTGCCCTCACGAATCTGATTCCAGCCACCCTGCATTGCACTTGCCCCTCGATGCTAGCCTTGCCTGGCCTTTCTTGCCACCCACCTTGACTGGCTAGATCTGTGGAAGAGAGTCAAACATAACTTACCCACATTGTCTTTCCTCCCAGGTCTCTTGTGAAGTTGAGTGTGTTTATGAGGCCAGCAGGACCCATTGGAGAGGGACAGTACATTTTGATGTGGGTCTGCCCGTGATTAATTCAGTTGGCAGATGTTGAGAACTCTGCTGTGTATGGGGCGAGGCTGAGACTTGGGTGAGACAAGCCAGGTGCTTAGGGTACAAAGTTGAAAGAGGTCTGCTCTGATTCCCATAGGTCAGTCATGGTTGTACAGACCCCTTGAGAGTGAAGGCCCTCTTCAACTTCAAGCCCTCATGCATCATTTCCTAGCCTTGCCCTGGTGCCTGGCACCATTACAGGGGCTAGGAATTCAATGGCAAGCCATATTGCCTGGTAAAGCCAAGTGTCCTGCCCTCAGGGAGTTTACCATCCTAAGCTGGGAAAAAGCCATTCATCATATATATATGAAGTAGCTGCTGGCAAGTGTGACTTGGGCTAGCAGATGCATTGCTGGGGGAAGGGACAGTGAGGAGATGGGTAGGGATACAGTAAGTTCCTAAAGCTTGTGACTGGTGGTGCACACAGGGACCAGAGCAGGGAAGCTGTGCAAGTGCATCCTACCTAGGCTGTGTGCTCTCAGAAAGCACCAGTTTGCCAGTGATTGGCTAAAAAGAGAAATCCAGTTTAGGAGAGAGGAGTGTAAGCTGCATAGCTGGGGTCGCCTGGCTCCATCTTCCTGATCATCTGTCTTCCTTGAGATTGTAACCTCCCCCAAACCCTCCACTCATCTTTGCCTGTCTGTCACCAACCACATCTGATGGAATCTTCCACTAGCCACATTTTGGTGGAAGTAGAGAACTGGTTTCAGAAAATTGTCTTCTGACCTCCACACATGTGGAGACTGAGCCCCCTACACATAAAATCAGTCAATCAATAAATAATAAAAGACGTGGGAGTGCAGAGGAGTTACACAGAACTCTTGTTAGCTTGGCAGCAATAGTCAGGTACCACAGAAGGACCTCGTAGCTTTGGCCTCCTACTTCTGGAGGCTGCCAAGGTCAAGGCATCAACTATTCATATCCACCCAGGTGAGGGCTCTACCTTGCAGACTGTACCTTCTAGTTGTATCCCCCATGCCTCTTCTTCTTATAAGGGCACCTGACCCTTAAGACTTTGTTCAGTGTTTGCCACCTCTCCGAATAGTCCCTTTGGGATTTAGGATTTAAACATGACCTGGTGTGTGTGAAGGGCGAATGTTCAGCCCCTAACACCTGCCCAGGGATGGACAGCGAATCAGAGGGACTTGAACTCGGTTCCCCAGAGCCCAGACAGCCATTAGGCCTTTTCTGCTTCGGGGTGTACTGCGTGTGTGTCAAGCTGCAACCACGGTCAGCCTGCGTGACCTTGGGCCCCAGGCTCCTGCCTGGAGGCTGGGGAACCATCACCTCGGGTTGGAGGTGGGGCAAGGCAGGCACTGGCTCCCGCGGCAGTGCAGGTGGCGCAGGGCGCCGGCTGCGGCGGGGCAGAGGTGGGTGTTACAGCTGAGCCGGCTGAGGGACTCGGGGCTGTGTCCCGGGCTGCCCCCCTCCCGCCCTGCGCGTCCTGCGCGTCCTTCCCGGCTGCCAGCCAACTGCGTGCCCCCGGGGCCGGCAAGAAGCCACATGCCCCCGCAAGGAATGCCGGGCTGCGGGGCGGGCCCGGGAAGGTGCGTGATCACCGGGCCGCTGCCCTCGCTCACACTTTCCCCGCGGGCCTCGCGCAGCCGATCGGCGCCCCCCCAAACCCCCCGGCTGGGGGGGGGCGGGGCGGCCGGTCCCTTGCGGTCCCCTGCGCGCGCCCTCCGCGCCCCCGGCACGCAGGAGGGGCAAGGCCGTGCAGCTCTCCCACCCCCTCCTGCCGCTGCCGGCTTTGGGGCCCCCGGTGGGGAGCAAGGGGCTGGTTAGCCGAGGAGCAGGGGTGTGGCCAGCGGGGGCCCCGGAGAGTGAGTCACACACACACACTCTGCTGGCCCAGTCCCGGGGCCCAGCGCGGTCCCTAGGCCGAGCTGCTGCACCGCCTGGGACCTACTGGAGAAGAGGGTCCCCTGAGTCTGGCATGAGCACCGTGGGGTGCCCTGGGAGGGGCTGCTGCAGCCCAGCTCGGTGGTGAGGGCGGTAAGCATGCTCTGGAGACACTCCCTGCTCCCCCTCCCCCCAGAGGGGTGGGCTTGAAGGCAGGGCTGCCCAGGCTGGTACACACCAGCTCCCCAACCCCGCCCTTACCTACTGTTAGCTGGCCAAGCGGCCTGACTGATTCCTTCCAGCAGCTCCTCTCACTCAGGGCCTCGGCCAGCCAGAGCCCCTTTCGTCTGTCTACTCCCTAGGGATCAGCTGGACTTGTGTGGTTCCCTCCCTGGTTCCCGCCATGGCAGAGTTTGCCAGGCCAGGGGTGGGTGGGGATGTTCTTCATGGCCTTTGGTCTTCGGGTCCAGGCTGTGCTTCCCAGGCCTGCCTCCTGGCCTGAGCTGCCCCTGGGCTCTGACCCCATGGGGCTGGTGGCTCCAGTCGTCCCCAGGACCAGCCGGGGATAGAAATGGCATTTCCTCTTGGCCAGGCTACAGCTGTTTTTGTTGTCCGTGTTCTCAAGGCTTCCTCTAGGGATGGCAGGGAGGGTAACCAGACTCCTAGGGACCCTTGCTGGCCCTCCCTACCACTCACCCCTCTTCCCCTGTCTCTTTGATCCTCTTCCTGTGTTGGTTTGGCCTCCTTTGCCTGTCCCCAGGACAGAATGACTGAGAACATGAAGGAGTGTCTGGCCCACACCAAGGCGACTGTAGGGGACATGGTGACAGTAGTGAAGACAGAGGTCTGCTCACCACTCCAGGACCAGGAGTATGGCCAGCCCTGGTGAGGCCCTTGAGTGCGGATGGGGGGAGGAGGGGAGGGGTCTGACTGGGCTGGATTGGTTGGGGATCCAGGGAGACATTCTCACCTTCCCAGGATCAGAAGTGAGCAGGCACTAGTGAGCTTGGGGCAGAGTCCCTCTGGACCCAAGTCTCAGAACTTCACATGCTCCACCACCCCCTCAGCGAACAGCAGGCTTGCTGGCGTTGTCTGTCCACCCTCACCCTCCCTCTGCCTCTTGGCCAGGTCTTCAGCCCATCTTCTTCCTGGCTTGTTTCTCTGATGACTTCTTTGCTTTCTTTGCGGGTCCCTGACCTGGCCAGCTCTAGGAGACCAGAGCCCTCATCCATGGAAGTTGAACCCAAGAAACTGAAGGGAAAGCGTGACTTTATCGTGACCAAAAACTTCCAGCAAGTGGACTTCTGGTGTAAGTGGAGTTGAGTTTCAGGGTGGCTGCTTTCTTTACCCCATGCCCCACCTGCCCCTGACTTGAGAACTTTGTTCTAGAGTACCTGTGATAAGCACTTACTCAAGGACACTAGGGTTCTCGTAGCCTGTCACAGGTTGCTTGGTGCATATATGTGTAACTGCAATTCAAACCCAGGCTTGTGGCCCCAAAGTCATTTTCTTATGTGAGACAAGAGCCTTAGCATTGGAAGGCATGTCCTTTGAGCCCTCAGGGAAGATCATGGGTTATTGATATTACTGACCCTGGGCCTACAGCTAGCTGGGTAGAGATAGGGCTGGGATGTCTGAGCCACATGCTGTTCCAGGCCATCCTCAGCATGGCCCCCAATGATCTCCTCAGCTTCCATGGGGGTCCTACATCCTGCCCCTACTGAGCTTTCTCTCTTCTTCACATCTCTGCAGTCTGCGAGTCCTGCCAGGAGTACTTTGTGGACGAATGCCCAAACCACGGTCCCCCTGTGTTTGTGTCTGACACGCCAGTGCCCGTGGGCATCCCAGATCGGGCAGCCCTCACCATCCCACAGGGCATGGAGGTGGTAAAGGAAGCCAGCGGAGAGAGTGATGTGCGGTGCATAAATGAGGTTGTCCCCAAGGGCCACATCTTTGGCCCCTATGAGGGGCAGATCTCCACCCAGGACAAGTCAGCTGGCTTCTTCTCATGGCTGGTGAGTATCCTCTGTACAGTTCCTTGGGAGACTGAAAAGGGATATGTAGGGAAACCAGCAGGGGGTGCCATATGCCTGCACTAGAGCTTGTCTATGATGACCTGTGGACATGTGGCTGATGGATCTTGCTGTCCCTTGCCCCAGCTGTGTGGTCTTTTCCCTGGGAGTCCAAGGGTCATGCTGAGGGAATCCACCAGAGTAGTAAGCAGGCAGAACTGAAGGTAGCTTTTCCACAGGTCCTTGGGTATGCATGTGCATGTGGGTGGGTATACATTTGGCTATATGTTCAGTGGTATTTACAAAGACCTCAGCCAACCCCTCTTCCAATATTTTGGAAGACTTGTAGCTGGGGTTGTTGGGGTCACAGAATGATATTTTGTTCAGAAAATGGTTGTGACAGGTCCTAGGCCAGGTTCTGGAGCAAAGACCCTCCACAGAACAAACATGGTCCCTGCTTTGGGGGACCAGACTGTCTCATGGGCAGATGGGCATTGAACAAGCACGTACAAGTGATCCTCACCACCAGAGGTGGAGCATGGTAGGCTTCGGGAACATCACACTGTGAGACTTGGCGGTGCGCTCATGGTGCCCAGAGCCTGTGTTGATAATGTCAGTAGACTTTGCTATTTACTGTCTAAAGACGTTGGATATGTCACTTGCTTCTCTGGTCAGAAAGCAGTGGTCTCAGGGAGGAGGCTGGGGAGATGGTTCATGTCAGACAAGGATGCTGATGGCTTGAACTGAAGTGCTAGAGGTGGATGAATCTGAGAGATTAAGGGTGGGCAGGATGCAAAAGTGATGACAAGAGGCTTTCAAAGTCATACAGAGGGATTCATTCCTAGGACTGCTAGTGGGAGGCGAGGTGGACAGTGGTGGGTGGAAGGGCAAGGGATTATAGAGGAAGACTGCTAGTGGGCACCAGGGCCATTGTACATCACATCCAGGCTTTTCCTCTTAAATGTCTCCTTGGTGCCAGGCCCTGGCTGCCCTGGGGATAGAGTGGCAGGCCAGATTAGATGGAAATTCTTGTGTGGGCAGGAGATAAAATTAAAACTACTGACAGGTGATGGCAAGATATGAGGTGGGGAGAGAGCGAAGGGCCGGAGGAATTGGTGTGGCCAGAAGAGGGGAGGTCTCCTGACACTGGGCTGTGGTTGAAGGGAAAGCATGAGCTCCAAACGCAGATAAATGAGGGGCATCAGGTGGGTGGGACAGCATGAACAAAGGCCCTGTGGTAGGGAAGGGCACAGCATGTCAGCATGAGCAACTGGTCACCAGTGCCTGGAGTGCAGCAGACATGGAGGTGGAGGAGGGATGGAAGTTGACCATGTGGAGCCCAGTGAGGACCTTTGAAGGGCAGTGAGAAGCTTCCAGATTGTTTCCAACTAAGACATAAAGGAGGGGTGACCTGACCACATTAATTTTTGTTTGTTTTGCTGTATGTGCATGTGTCTGTGTTTTTGTGGAGGCCAGAAGTCAATGTCAGGTGTCTTCCTCAATTGCTTCTTGTCTTATTTTTTGAGGCAGAGTCTTACTAAAACTCAGCTAGACTGGCTGGCTAGTAAGCCCCAGGGACTTTCCTGGCTCTGCCTCCACAGCACTGGGATTACAGTGTGTGCCACAGAGCCTGACTTTTACCTGGGGCTAGGGGTCCAACTCAGTTCCTTATGCTTGTGCAGAAAGCACTCTATCCACTGAGCCATATCTCCAACCCCTTGTTAATGTTTTGAAAGGACAACTTTGGCTGTAGCCTGCAGAACTAATGGGGTAGAGGATGTGGCATTGGTTAGGAAGGGGGGTTGCACCTGGGCCCCAGGCAGAAAGCCAGTGTGGTTCCAAGTCTACAGGAAGGCGATAGGGGTAGAGACTGGGGCAGAGATTTGGAGGCAGGCAGACTGGCTTGTGAGAGATGGTGAGTCTGGTCTTAGACTTACTGGATGGTGATATCAGCAGACTAGTGGACACATGAGTCTGGTAAGTGGAGCGGGGATGTGGAGATGTCACTTGTGTGCATGGGCAAACAGGGGGCCTGTCTGTGAGGGCAGCACTAGGGAGAAGGGGCTGAGTGGAGGTGGATGGGGCCCAGAACTCAGCATCAAGGGACCTTAGCAGTTTGTAGTCCAGAGGGAGCACAGGAAAGAGTGGCCCCAGAGGAGGAGCAAGCCAAGAGAGTGGCTGACTGCACAACAAGGGGAGAGGTAGTACAAGACAGCCACAGGGCCAGTAGTGTCTTATGCTGCTGAGAAGCTGGGCTTGGGAGTATCTGTCAGATCTTGTGCCAGAGAGAGCATGGTGACATTAGCAGAAGCAGAAGGTTTCAAGATGGGATGACATTGCACCCACGTGGCATTTGGCAACATCGAGACAGCTCAAAGTGGGCATGTGCTACTGGTACCTAGAGGCAGAGGCCAGAGGCAATGCTATAACTTATAGAAGATTCAAGAAGCCACTAGGTATGGAAAGGGCTGAATCAATGTATTTTCCATCACTGGAGGGACGGCCTAGGGGTTGGTAGGTGTAATAGACCCAATAACAGGCATGCTATGGGGGACTGGATGTTGGTTCTGTTAATTGATGTGGGAAGGCTCATCTTCACAGTGGGTGGGACCATTCCCTGGACTGGAATCCTAGACTGTATAAAATGGAGAAAGTGAGTTGAGCATGGACGTTGCCACCTGCTTCTTGACTGTAGATGCAATGTGACCAGCTGCCTCAAGCTCCTGCCCATGTGACCCCCCACCCCCCATGATCACCTGCTCAGGTGATGAATGAGAGAGGAAGGAAAAGGCCTGAACCATGGCACTGATTTGGGGCCAGGATCTGGAAACTCCATATCATAAATAAACTTCATTCACTTGTCAAATCCTGTCCCCAAGCTGTCCTTACTGTTCTCTGTCTTAACCTTCTGCTTCGCTTCAAAAGCCCCTGCCCCATCCAAGAAAATTTGTCTCTACCAGGAGAGATGGCTGTCAGTAAAGTGCTTGCTACACAGGCATGAGGACCTGAGTTTGAACCCCAGAACCCATGTGAAAAAGCATTTTGTGGTGCATGCTTGTAATCCCAGCACTAGAGAGGAAGAGACAGGCAGATCCCAGGGTCTCACTGGCCAACTAGCCTAGACAAATGGTTAAACTCCAAGTTAGTGAGAGACCCTGTCTCAGAAAATAAGGTAAATCACACCCGTAGAAAGGCACCTGATGTTGACCTCTGGCTTTCGCATGCACATGTGCACATATATGACCAAGAGTATGACACATGCACACACACAAAGTATGCTTGTATGGGGACTGGAGAAATGGCTCAGCGGTTAAGAGGACTGACTCCTTTTGTGGAGGACCCAGGCTCAGTTCCTAGTACCCACATGACAGTTAACAACCTTCTATAATTCCAGTTCCAAGACATCGGATGCCCTCTTCTGGCCTCCATGTGCATCACACACGTGTGGTATATGCACATATATGCAGGCAAAACATTCAAACACACAAAATGGAAATTTTTTTGGTCTTTTTGAGACAGGGTCTCCCTGTAGCTCCAGTTGTCCTGGAACTCACTATGTAGACAAGGCTGGCTTTGAACTCACAGAGATCCGCCAGCCCCTGCCTCCCAAGTGCTGGGATTAAAGGCATGCACCTCCACACCCAGTTATAAAATAAATTTTTTAAAATTGCTTTTGTGCATAACTCCTGAATGATAGTCCATAACTCCTGAATGATAGTCAACAGGCTGGGGTGTGGTCATGGCAAACACAACCCTTAGTGTTCATTGAGCTGCTTACACATGTCTGAGACTATATTGGGTGCTCAATAGCATCACTTCTTTGATTCTGCAGTGCCCTTCCTGTGACAGGTGCATTGTCATTCCATTGTATGGTGGGGAAATGGGGACTGAGGCTTGGAGTGGGAAATGGACCATTGTGCAAAGCTAAGCAGTTAGTGAGGAGCTCCGTTGGCCTTCAGGTCTGTACGATCTGGCTCAGAGCCTGCCTCATTCAGCCCAGTGTCCTTCTCTGCCTCTCTTCCTTCCATGCCTCTTCCTTCCTGCTCCTTTTGATTGTCTCTATTCTCCTTTCTTCCTATCATCAGTTCCCTCTCTGGTTCCACTCAGCTTGGAGGAGAGCTGGCCCCACAGTGCACTGACTGTAAAGGCTGCTGTTCCGCTCTGTGTCTCTCCACTCCCTGATTGCCCTGGCAGGAGCTGTGCACTTAGTTCTGACTACTTAAGATGAGAAATGCTCTGTCCTGAGCCTTCTCAGGCCAGTGGAGTTCATCAAGCCATAATCACTACCAAAGTCTCCCAGGCTACCCTCAGATGCTGCAGGCCGGGGACAAGGCTGCAGGAGTAAGGTACTTGGAGTCACCACGCAGCCCTGTGGTTTGGAAAAGAGGCAGAAGAAAGAAGAGCCAGCAGAGGGTTTCTATTAAAATTTTTCATCCAGACCTTGTTAGGTTCCAGGGAGGATTTAGGGCAGCCTCAACAGATGTGTAAAATAAACCACAATGGGATATTACAACTGAGAGAGAAAAGAAAAGCAAGGTAGGGCTCGGGATGGAGCCAGGAGTCAACAGGCTGGGTCTGCCATGTCTGGAAGCAGGGAAGGCACCTTGGAGGCACCTGAGTATGGGTGTACACAGAGGAACGAGTGCTTTGTATGTATGCGTAGAGGTCAGAGAGGAAGGCCAGAGATTGATGTTGGGTGTCCTTGGCCCCTCTTCCCCTTATTTTTGAGACAGTATTTTCTTAGTGAACCTAGGGTTCAGTGATTGGATAGACTAGCTACCAGGGAGTCCCAGAAATCTGCTTATCTGCTCCCCTGGATTTTAAAAATATTTATCTTTATTTTATGTATTGGTGTTTTGCCTGCATGTATATAAGTGCACTATGTGCATGTGATGCCCGTGGAAGCCAGAAGAGGGTGTCAGATCCCTTGGAACTGGAGTTATAGATGGTTGTTACCTGCCATATAGGTGCTACTTTGCAAGAGCAGCCAGTGCTCTTAACCA